GTAATGCTTACCCAAGTTCTCCAGAGTTGTTCTAGTGAACTACAGATTGATAGCTGTTCAGAACTGAGGGTCACCTGGACCTCCAAACTGTCTGCAGTGGGGGCAGTTTTGTGGACTCTGTGAAGCTTGTCCTAACTCTGAGTGGCTGGAGTCATAAGTCACTGCACTCTCCAGAACAGCTCCTCACAGAGTTCATTGTCACAGCGAATGACATGTGCATCCACCTATCTAGCAGCTCAAGGTACAAAGCAGGCTGTCATGGGCCATTCCTCCCTCTGAATCCCCTCCTACGTAAGCACCGAATCACACATCCTTCTAACTGAGAAGTCTCAGTTCTAGTCACTTCTCTCCAGTTCCCTTCAGGCTATGACACGCAACATGATGGCTTTTTGCCTTTCCTGTATCACTCATCTCATTGCTCATAGAATTCTGGCCACAGGTGCCTTCTCTCTGATTCTAGACTTGTCGAATTTATTCCTACATTAAGGCTTGCGGCTTGCTGTTTCTTCTGCTCTGACTGTTCTCACAGGTCTCTGCCTTGCTGTTCCTCAACATTTAGGACGTGCCTCGTCCTTGAAGTGGTCTGTTTCACTCTTCAGTTCCAAGCAGCTGTCTAGCAACCATCTCATCCTGTTTGATTTCCACCACACCTTATTTTTATTTTGATTTTTTTCTTCCTTGTCAGAATTAAGTTCCACATCATATTCAATACTGTATTTCCAGGGCCTAGAAGAATATCTGGCACACAGAAGATGACCATTTACTGAATACCTTAATTGGATATTCAGATCTTACTGAATCTGCAGAACATGAATATCTCAGCAGCTTCCTCTGACTTTTGTTTTGCCCTCTTCAAATCTACTCTCCACACTGTAGCCTGAGCCATCCTTTTAAAATACCAAAATGATGACATCACTAAAATGGGGCTCACTACTTTATTCAGAGCTCTTTCTCTGGGACACAAAGCACAGGCCCTTTGTGATCTGGGTTGTTACCACTCCTGGTATATCCTCATCTATTCAGGCTTGCTGCACTATGGCCAACATCCAACATCCAGGCTCTCTAGCCTCTGGATTTCCTGTAAATGGCTCTCTTCTATGACAATCACCTCTCCTCCTTAGTGTGCCTTGTTAACTCATGCTTCAGGTCTCCTTAACCACCACTTCCTCTAGAAAATCTTCCCTGTCCTCCCATAGTCCAATCAGACTGCCCCATCCTCTGTGCTCCCAGTGTTCTCTGTCCCATCCATCATACCGTTGACATGGGATGTCCTATAACTGTCTGGATACTTGCCTGTATGCTCAAGAGCGCAAGCCTCTTGGGGGCAAAGCCTTGTCTTATTCAGTGGTACTGTTAGTCAGTGGTACTGTTACCATAAGGAAAGAGCCTGTGGGCACACTGTAAGGTGCCTAATATATATTTACTGAATTCATTTATTATACTAGAAAATTTGCTGGCAAATTTAGAAGTCTTTGTTATTCCTTCCATGCTCCCTATAGAGTTCAATTCAATGTTCTCAGAATAGGCACTCAATAAATACTGTGTAAAAGTAAAATGATTTCCTTAACCCAGTGAAAGTAAAGAGAAAAATCAAGGAGGCTCAGGTTTCTTGATAATACAATATGCTTATTTAAGGAGACTAGCAAGACCACTAATAAGCTTCAAGTTAAAGAGATAAACTTATAGTTCATAATTAAGTTATATGATCTCTTTCAACATGCTTCTTTTCTATACCGCTGCTAACATTTTATTGTGGCTAAATACTCACAGAGGGATATTTCAGCCTTTGTTCAAAAATACCTATGTTAATAGATAAGCACTGCATTCCTTAATTGTAGGGAATCTGTTTATAAGTGCTGTACTGTAAAGACATGAATGAGTAAAATTTTTCTTGGCAAGAAAATCCAACCACGTTTTACTGAAGGATAAGAATTACTACTCTCTGTTATTATGATAATTTACATAAAAATATGTACAAAGATGTATGTTCTACCCATAAAGCAATCCATCAGTTTTTAAAACAAATGTGCTAGAAGTTATTGGTATTATGTGTCATTCAAAGCAGTCTTCTGTGGGGACTTATTCCCATAATAAGACCAAAGCTCAAAGAATTTTAGGAAACACTTTTGAAAATGCCATTAGATCTGCATCTATGCTTTTGAACATCCTCATGGACGACCAACCTTCACTTTGAAAGTGACTATTTACCCCTGCAAGCAACTAGTGAGTAGAACATGGCTAGTACACAAGATTACAGATCATGATATACTGGATCAAAAACAAGGTACGTTTGGGTCAAGAACACTGACAATGTGTAATCTTCCTTGTGTAATGTTATATGCTCGTTCTGAAAACAACATCAAGAGAAGTTCTAGAAATGTTGAGACAGAATAAAACAGTGTTTTAAAAAATAATGTCTATGGAGTCATAAACCCTCATGAAAATTTAATGAAAATTATGGCTCCCCTGCCTCCTCCCCCAAATTGTATATAATATCAGAAAGGTATAAACATGCTAAGGTCCATTTATGTGGCCAGATTTTGTTTTGTTTTGTTTTCATTTTAATTTATTCTGTGCAGTTTAAAATGAAAGTTAAATCATACAAAGCACAGAAATAGAAATAGTACTGACCAATTTTTAAACAAAATCACTGATTGTTTATGCACATTCCCCACCTTTAAGGTTACACCTTGCTGTATGTATAAAGGTACTATTAGCACACATAGGCTATTCCTCATATGCTTATTTGTGGAGCAGCAGGATGACAATGCATCATAGCACAGCATACAAGGTTTCCTTTAAGAAACCACAGCAGCAGTATTTGGTGAATGGTTATGCATAGAACTGACTCTGAGGTAATGCTGAACATTCCTTATTGAATGTAGCAAGGTACACTAACAAATGGGAAATGTAACTTTTAATATAAAATGTTACTCTTTATGCCTTAAATGTAAAATTCTGAGACACTTTAAAAGCACACAACACAAGATGCTTTAACTCCAGACTCCATAACCGAACGCTATTCTATTAGTTGCTGAGCCCATGACATTTGAGGATGGCTCATTGGCTTTTTAAAGTTAACTTCAAATACATAAACATTTAGTTTACCAGTCAAAATCTATAGCTACATCGATTACATGTTACATTAAAACATAACTATGGAGAAAGGCTGACTTTTAAAAAGATTACATTGTTTTCTTCAAAAATGTTATTCTTAAAAGCAACAATGCACTACTTTCAATCTTGCAACATGTTGTGTGAATCCATAACTTTATATCTTTTAAATCTTTCAACAAAATATTTTGAAATGGTTCTTAAACCTAATAACATCTAAAGAAATGGGTAGGCATGTCTGTGAAATGGCTGTCCAATACATAACAATGCTTCCCCTATGAAAATCCAGTGAGTGCATTCTATATTTACCTTTACATAAATATTTCAGACCTCATTTAACAGAGCTATATAAATATTTAGTGTTTTGGCATTTAAATCCGAGCAATGCTACCATACAGGCAATTTTCACTAAAAGGTTCAGAAGCAAAAGACTGATGTGGGAATGGTTAGCTGAGAAGGAAATGAAACCAATCTACCCGAGTTCCTAAGTTTAGAATCAATCCTTAAAAAGATGGTATATTCCAGAACCATCATTTTGGGGGAGGGTTTAGGTAAGAGTTTACTATTTGTGGTCTGGATGCAGTTCTGGTAAAATTCAGACTCAAAAACAATAAAACAAAACAGGAAAAAGAACGGCAGCACCATACCACATAAATAAGTCTGAGTTAATAACTATTTCTCTTCCATCTCTTAGTGGCCATAGATATAGGCACTATGTTAAGTGGGGTGCATGAAACGAAAGTTTTAAATAAAGAATTAGTCTGCAGATTCTTCATTATTGACATCTGTAATTCCTCTTCACTCTCTTATAATGAGTTATAGCATGGCAAGTGTGAGCTATTAATATGCTCTTAGGTATATTTCTTAAGTAAGTAGAACATTTCTTAAAATTCTATAAAATAAGCTTGAAGCATAAGTACCAATAAATAATTAAGAGGCCAGATTAAAACTCCATGGTTTAGAACAGTGGCTCTCAGCCACGATGGTGGTACATGCATGCCTCTAATCCCAGCAACTCAGTAGGCTGAGGCAGGAGGATCCCAAGTTCAAGCCCAGCCTCTTAGCAACTTAGGTCCTACACAACTTATCAGGACACTATCTCAAGATAAAAAAACAAAATAAAGGGCTGGGGATGTAGGTCAGTGATAGAGTGCCCCTGAATTCAGTCGAAAGAAAGAAAGAAAAGAAAGAAAAGAGAGAGAGAGAGAGAGAGAGAGAGAAAGAAAGAAAGAAAAGGTACCCTTTTTTTTTTTCCTTTGCAAACAACAGGGGGAAAAATTCATTTTTTTACTGTGACCCAGTTTGAACTTACATACATAAAATCAAAAATCAAAAGTTCACAAAACAGCTGGGCTGTAATCCCAGCAGGTTGGGAGTTGGAGGCAGGAGGATCGAGAGTTCAAAGCCAGCCACAGCAATTCAGTGAGGTGCTAAGCAACTCAGTGAGACCCCGTCTCTAATAAAATAAAAAATAGGGCTAGGGATGTGGCTCAGTGGTCAAGTGCCCCTGAGTTAAAAAAAAAAAAAAAAAAGTTCACAAAACAATTTTTAACCCTATTATATATGATAGTATTTTCTTGTATTTAAGAACAGTGTTACTTATGATTTACTACACCTTCACAATTCATAGTTTGAAGTTACTAGTAGTTTGGAGTAACTGAAGCATAACTACAGTAAGTTAATGAAAAAAAAAGGGAACTCATTTGATTACAAAAATTCTGATATGTTATTTTAAAACAACAAACACAAGCCTTTTTTATCTATAGACAAACCTCCCAAGAGATTAGATCCTTTATGTCAAAACTATCTTGACTTAGGTCATTCATCCACATGGCTAACTACTGGAAACTCTGATGGGTAAATCATATAACAAAGAAACCCCATACCTTAATATTAGAGAACCATAAATCATTCTCATGTAAGGTGGCAAGGTAGACAGATGTAAGAAGTCCAATGCAAAGGGCAATGGTCCCTCCAATTGTAAATGACAGAATCTTCCAAAATCTTCGGCTGGCACAACCTTTTAGAAAAATCAAACAGGTAAATGAGTATAAGGAATTTAGCATTTCAAAGTTGTATTTTATACTATAAAGTAAGCTAAATTCCAGCTGCCTGTCACTGGTGAAGGCTTCCCTATCCCCATCCCTATCCCCAGAAACTAGTTAAGGGCACCTTTCTGTGATGCCACAGGCACAGACTTATTTCATTCTCTCGCTCTTTTTTTTTTTTTTTAAATACGGGGTCTTACTATATTGACCAGGCTGATCTCAAATTCCTGGCCTGAATTGATCCTTTTGCCTCAGCCTCGCAAGTAGCTGGGACCATAGGCATGCACCACTGTGCCTGGCTTATTTTCATTCTAATTTTTTACCCCACTATATCTAATAGTTCATTTTTCCAACTAGAATATGAGTTTATCATACCCACGCACACTGTTTTATTCATTTATAATGCCTAAGACCTGTGCCTGGCATAGGTGAATAGCTAGAGTTCACATATAAAGTCTGCTAAATGGAGGAATAAATAGGTTATAAGTATAGGATGTGAATAATCTTCTAGATGATCTACTTATAATTGTAGTTTCTACATTAAAACCTTGCAAAAAAACTAGATTACTTACAATTAAAAAATAAAGGAAAAATAACCTCCTAACTTAAAGGAGATATAAAATAGAAAAAATATAGCACATTTTAAAATGTTTAAATGTCCTTAATACTGGATACTTTTGGGATAATAAAAAATGATTAATATTTTAGTAGGAAACAGATGCACAAAAGAAAAAAATGGCCAATAAATGTAACAGACTGAAGAAAAGATGTTCAAATTCATTCAAATTTATTAGTGTTAAAGAAATGCAAATCAAAACAATGAGCTATACTTTTTAAAACTCTCGGCTAAGCCACACAGGGTGGTGCATGTGTCTAATCCCAGTGGCTCAGGAGGCTGAGGCAGGAGGATTGCAAATCTAAAGCAATTTAGTGAGACCCTGTCTCAAGATAAAAAAATTAAAAAACAAACAAATAAACAAACTAAAAAGTGTTGGGAATGTGGCTCAGTGGTTGAATCAGGGCCCCTCAGCCAGCCTCATGCCCCTGGGTTCAATCCCTGGTACCAAAAACAACAGCAAACAATACAAAACTTGGCAATGTGGTAGCTTACAAATGTTAATACTCTTTTGTTTGGAAAGGGTATTTTTAAAAAAGTTGACATTTTCAAACACTGTTGGTAGAAGAACTAGTACCTTTCTGAAATGCAATATGGCAAGAAGAATTAAAGCTACTAATTGAGCAAACCATTTGACCAGGAATTCCAAGACTAGGCATTTACCCTAAGGAAATAATTAAAGTTTTAAATAAATATTTATAATAATTCTATTTGTATTAGCAGAAAGGATATTTATCATAATTCTATTTTTATTAGTAGAAAGTTAAAAAAGCCATCATAATATTCACCAACAAGTACAGCTACATAATGGAATATTATACACTATGATGTTTTAAAATTATGCCTATAATTCTAGTGATTCGAGCAGCTGACATGAGGAATGCAAGTTTGAGGCCAGCCTCAGTAACTTAGTGAGA